TTTGCCTGCCCTCAGCCAAATGGCTGCAGGAGCAAACTAGGGAGGAGCCTCTCATTTCAATAAAATGGGCTTGAAGCCCCAACACCTCAGTGGGTACTAAACTACACCAGAAGAACAGTTATCCCGGAGAGGGCTTAAGGAAAACTGCCTTCATGGACCCAGACACATGGTGTCTCCCTTGCCAGGTAAGCATATAAAGCAACAGCAACAAAATGCAAACATCAGGGCATCAGGAACTTCCAGTGCAATGTTCCTCCTACGCTAGAGACAGACTCTCTGTCCTTTCTATACCCCCGGTTAGAAGTGACCCCTCAGTAATAAATACTTAAAAAGATACTTGCTCCAGCTTGGAATTGGGTGAAGCTGCCTTTCTCCATGTCCCCCTGGTGGCTAAATAACCCCAATGGTGGCACTGCACATACCACCCACCCAGGGCAATCCAGGGAAGAGACCAAGCCCGCCTCACCGGCTCTCCCCTGCTCCTAGCAGAAAACCCAGTCTAGGGTCGGACAGAGGTCAAGGGCGACGATCCCTGGATTCCCGCCCCAGGGGAGGCGGATCACACTCCGCCTTGACCGAATGCGCAGGCTCATGCCCATGAGGCCAGAGCGGTGCACGCATGCGCTATACAGCAAACAGGTTGGGTCTCTTAAGTGTGAAACGAGTCGGAGCTGCTCATTGGCCCCAGTCGCTTATTGGCTCTTTTAGCTGTCAGTTAAGCCGCGGGCGAGCTCTACTGGCTGGGGCATGTGGTAGGGGCGTGGACACTGCAGTGGGAGATTGAGGGTGTACCCATGACTCTGGGCAGTGCCGACGGCTCGGGGCGGTTTCGCTTCCGCCGGCCGGAATTGGGAGCAGGTGGATCCCCAACATCACGGCCGCCATTTTGGGAATGCTTCTTGCGTCTTGGACACATTTCCCAGTGCGCATGTCAATGTCCACGGCGCATGCGCAGTCGACGGTCAGTTGCGCCTGTGGTGAGGCTCATGTGCGGGAGCAGTGTGGCCGTGAGCATGCGCAATAGGCACTCATTGCTCAGCTGAGTGATTCAGCCTGGGAGTCTAAATTGCTGCGCAGGGCTGAGAGGCAGTGTGCAAACGTGACTCACAAGAGAAACTCAGAGATTTCATGAGAATCCATGGTGCTAAAAGCATTCTGACCTACTTTTTGAGCTCTTTGCAGCAGAAAAAGTGATCGATCATTTGTAGTAAAAAATGAGTGAAAGCTGAGGGCTGGGTGCCTTGAGTCTGAAAAGTTTGAGACCCACTGTCTTAGGCCCACCGTTTCCCTGCAAGTGAGTCAGAATGGTCACTGCTGTTTGCTGGGGGATATACACTGAATTTATGAGGGTCAAGCGAATGGCTCTGCTGCCTGACCCAGGTGGCTGCCTTCTAGTGAATCCAACATGTAATAGCTCCCCAATACAGAGAGCAGCATCTACACAGTTGTAAGAGGGCAATGAAAAGTTTGGACTGTTCTGTTACTGTATTTACTCAAATCTAAGGGAGTTTTTTTCTCCCTATTCAGCATGGGGCCTAGTCTTCAGTTTGAGTATAGGCCAGGCAAATGGCTGCTGTGACTCTGGATGGGGCCCGTGTGGCTCATCTAGCAGGTAAGGGGTGTATGAGAGGGCATGGGGAAGGGGCATGCTGGGGGGGGGGAGCAAAGGGTAAAGGGTGGCAGGGGGATTGCTGGGGGAGGGATATGTGAAGTGAGGGGAGTGCAGGGAAAGGGACACATGGAAAATGTGGAAAGGGGAGGGGGGATGCAGTGTGAGGGGGGAAGGGTGCAGGCGGGAACACAGGTGAAGGGATGTGTGGAGCGAGGGTAGTGCGGGTAAAAGACATGGGGAAGGCATGTGAGGAATGGGAAATGGCATGGGGAAGAGAAGTAGTGAGAGGAACATGCAGGGAACAGATATGCAGAGCGGGGGAGCATGGGGAAAGGAAGCACAGAGCAGAGTGAGTGTGGGGAAAGGGGCACAGAGTGGTGTGGGAGCTGCCATGGCCTTGGCCCTTACCCTGACTGGGGCTGGAGGCTGAAGCCAGAACTGTCATTACTGCCTGGTCTGGCCAGATGCTCCATGCCCCCAGCAGAGATGGAACAAGAACGGCTGCAAAAGGAAGTGGGAAGGGGGCTGGTGTGAGGGGGGGATCAAGTGGTAGGAGGAGGAAGGCACTGGGGTGGGGGGTAGGGGAGCAGGCATGGGGGCAAGTGGTAGAAAAGTACAAGGAGCATGGGGCAGGCTGCCTGCTTCCCCAGCCACTGCTTTCCCTGCCACTACTTTCCCTATGGCAGTGGTGGGTAGGATGAATTTAAGAGCCCTCCCCTTCCCCAAGAACTAGCTTCTAGACATGGAAAATTAAAAAAAATATTTATCATTTTCTGTGTTTGGAATCTAATAATTGGGGCAGGTCATCTAAAATTCAGGGTTGTCATAGAGTTGGGTAAATATGGTAATGCTTGGGAGTTTCCTTTTATACCCTTCTGAGCCTGGGCTGACTCAGGCCCAAGCAGCAATCACACAGCAGTCAGCACTCCCACAGCAATCAATCTCTTACGTCAGTAGATTTCACGGGGTCAGGCCCACCAAGGAAACTATAAGCCCCGTTTAGTACTGGGGGCCACTAGTGACATGTTACTGAATACTTGGGACAAATAATGAAAACAGGGACAGGAGTGGAGGTCAGATGTTTGTAACAAGAGTGCCAAGGGGAAGCACCAAACAGAGCACACCAGACAGTGCCCGCTGGCCTTTAAATGAGTGCAAGGAGCCAGTGGACATTACCCAGTGATACTTTGCTCGGAGTGAAGTAGGGCAAGGAAAACGGCCCTGCAGTCCCCAGGGACCCTCCCTGCTAGAGCCTCCTACCTGGTTGGATATTTGGCCAAGGCCAGGGGGAGATTGATCAAAAAGGAGGTCCCGGGACTTGGTGGGGCCACAGATGGTGGGTGTGTAAATGAAGAGGTGAGGGGAATAGTGCAGCAGGAGGTTGTGGGGGAGGCAGAAAAGGGGCTGCAACCTGGTGCAGGCAAGGTATATGCATGCCATGTTTTTCCTGTTGGCAAAAGGGGCACTTGGAGACAGGATGCTGGATTACAGGGCTCTTGGGTCTCATCCAGCATAGCAATTCCCATGTTTCTATAACCCAGGGATCAGCAGCCTATGACTGGTGGGAAGTATCTGACCTGTAGAACTACTGGATCCCGTCTAGTACCCAGGTTGCAGCCATATTAGTCTAGAGGAAAAAGCAATCAGGTCTCATGGTAGAGGTGGGTTATTAGACCCACAAGACTTTTGCAAAAAATGTCTTTAATTGCAAGCTTTTAGGCACAAACATCCTTCATCAGGCATTGGAGAAAAGGTGTCCGCCCCCTGGTGTAACCCAGTGAGCCTCTTCAGTCACGCTGGCACCTGGCAGCAAAGAGATTCTGAGCTACCACACAAAGGACTGGGAGAAGCTTTCACCTCCCTGCATCATAACTGTCCACTAAGGCTGTGTTTCTCAACCTGTGGGTTGCAACCCAATAGTGGGTTGCAAGGCTGTATGAAACGGTTGCAAACAAACTTTAAAAATGGATTCTCTTTTAATGCGCTTCCACGGGAAACCATGGCTTTTTCTTTGCAGCCTGTGAGGAGCCGCTTGCCCCCCCCC